TTTTTTTTTTTTTTTGCAGTACGTAGTCAGATCCTCGACCCACCTATCAATCAATCCAGAAGCATGTCAGCGACTGACCAGTCAGCGACTGACCAGTCAGCGACTGACCAGTCAGCGACTGACCAGTCAGCGACTTCAATTTATTCTGAAGTGAATGCCCCTTACCTGCAGAGCTGCAGCGGTTTTTCATTATGAACGCTTTGCAGTCAGAGAGATTTCAATAAACAGTAACAGAGTTTATATCTTTTGTTTCATGTTACTGTAATAAACCTTTGTAAAATACACCAGAATGCAGGAAATGACATCTACTTTATTCAAAATTCTCTGGGGGAGGACCCCGAGACCCCCCCCCCCCCCAAACCCCTACTGAAACTACTGAAAACAAAACAAACAAGGTTTAAAAATAATAAACAATTATCTTAAATAAATTATATCAAGCCACAAGGCAATTGCAAATTAGGACAGACATAAAGTCTGACACACAGTCAGGTTGAAATTAAGGATGCACCGATCCACTTTTTAAAATTCCGATCCCGATACCTAGAACTGAATATCGTCCGATACCGATCCAGTTCCGATATCATGATCATTATTGATTTTATACGAGGCTGTAATAATCTCCTCTCAAGTACAATTTGTACAAATATATGCATGCATGTCCAAAAAGGCAACTTGAGGTAAGTTTTATTAATGTTGGATAAGTTTTAAAGTTAGAAGTAAATTCTAACACAAAACATGTTTCTTTTTATTCCTAGCTTTAAAGTGGATATTAAAGTGATTAGTTTAAGTGATTGTTTAAAGTTGTTTTATATTTTATAAGGGGCAGATATAAGAATTTTTTTCTTCTTTCTGCACTCTTTTCATTCAATGTTTTCTTTTTCATGATTTTTATTTTTATTTTGGTTCAATTAAATGAATGAATAAATGAATTAAATGTTAAATGGCTTCAAACATCTGCTAAGTTCATGCATAAACCAACAGACATGTTCCTGTTTTTAGTATTTTACATCACTTTATAATGTAGCTGTTTATGTTTTTAATATATATAATTTTCAAATCATGTGTTTTTTTATAATTGTCTACTGTTGTACTGATAAATATCTCCTGGAGGGTAAACTATATCTTGGCTGCAAGTATCAAACTGTGAAATCTTTCGTTTTCTACAACTGATAGTGGTTGGTCATGAATCATGATGAAGTTTAGAAACTTCTCAGTAAACATTTGAGCTCCGTGGTTTCAGTGACGTCTTCTTCTTGTTCAATCCGAAGCAGGCAGCCTGATTTGTGGCAGTCGCGCTCAGTCTGTCCCTCCTCAGAGACGGGCAGACTGAGCGGGGCAGATTGGACGTGGCTGGCCGAGGTCAAGTCGCCTCTTTCGGTTTGCGCAAAGAGCAGCGCCCCGCTGAAGCCACGGAGCTCGAATGTCCAACGTAACACTAACTTTACCACGGTTTAATGTGGCGCTATGGCTCTGCAGACATTGCACGTTGCTGTCTTGTCTTGTGGTGTTTCTAGTGTAAAATACTTCCTCACAGCGGACATGTTTACATGAAAAGTTGGTTAGCCGTTAGCCACAGTGCTGCTAACTCAGTCCTGACGTTGTAGCTGGCTGCAAACTATGAAATGGATTTCCTGAATGTGAGGCAGGTCTTATTACTCTGGGCTCATGAGACACGCCGCCGTTCAGGAAATCCATTCCGTAGTTTGAAGCAAACATACATCATGGATCGGAAATATCGGCAGGTGGATCGGAAAATCCGATACGTAAATTATGCTGTTATCTGAGGCCGGTACCGATACTGGATCGGATCTGCCCCATCCCTAGTTGAAATATTGCAATCTCAACAAAGGTGGGTTTAGTGTTTTAAAATGTAACATAGCTTTTGTTGTTGGTTTTACAAAATCCTGATCTGATTTATTTTATATTCCACTAATTTTTTTAACGTCCATTATGTATACGTCTGTATGTAAGTTTATTTAGTTAGACACCAGTCCCTGTAAAATAAAACCAAGCAAACTTCATTTTCTGATTATTCCAGATAATGCTTTTGCTCTAGTTTCCTGTTTGACTGTGAAGCTTACGTGATGCTTCAGAGCAGGTGGACGCGTCATCATCATCATCTGCCTCCTCAGTTTTCCCAGTCTCAGGCTCTTCTTCCTCGGGCTCGGGCTCCACCCACCATCCAGGCATGAGGCAGGCCGAGTCGTAGGAGTTACAGAGCGGTCCGACGATGTGTGTGATGAATGATTCCTGAAGTTTGGCCAGCTGCGGTGCTGCTCGATCCATGAAGGGGCTGACAGGAAGCCCCAGGCTGGACTCCTCATCACCCTGCATACAGCACAAGGTATTAAGGTAATATTGCTGCAGGCAGAACAAAAGCCCAAACATCATTTACAAAACATAGCTTTAAATTATGGCATGAGGACAAAGTGCAGAGGAAAGATTGATTAATCATGTTTTATAGCTTAGATTTTCTGATGATTTGATTGAGTTTTTATTATTATGGATTTATTCCATAAATGTATATAAAATATCTTTCAGAGTGGTCTTGCCAACTGACCTTAAGTGTCATTAAACACGTTAAAATGCTTCACATGGCAGAAGAAACTAATGTAAAATGATTGGATAGTCACTGTATTACTGGATGTCATCTGAATCTATAATTTGATGTAATCTTTTGAGAGTTGAACCAAAATACATGCATGCATAAGAGCGTGAGCTTCATTTGCCCAGTACAGCATCAGACACGAGAGCCCCGAGACAACTTTGTTGTGATTTGGTGCTATATAAATAAACTGAATTAAATTGAATAGTCAACAGATACTGAGCTAAAATTTGTGCAGCATGGTTCACAGTTGTTGAGCTTGTCTCTGCAAGAAGGTTGTTAACTGGCCCCATGGCCTGTCAGTGTGGAGTTTACAGGTGGGTGTTCTCCAGGTACACTGGTTTTCTTGACAGACCCAAAACATGCATGTTAGGTTAATGGATAACTAAATCGTTCATAAGTGTGAGTGAGAGTGTGAATGGTTTTCTCTTTGTGATCCTGTGATGGAGTTATGACCTGCAGGGTGTACCCCCCGCCTCTTGAACAATGATAGTCACCAGCTCTTCACTACCCAGAAAGAAAAAAGTGGGTAAGTAAAATGGATAGTACTAAACTTTAATGTAGTCAAAGCTGAGAGGACTGCTCAACACAAACTTTGAGTGCTAATACATCTTGCATGATCACGTAACATTGCAAGAGATTGCACAATTGTCGTTTACCAGGGTTGACCAAATCACTATAGGTCTGTACCTTCTCATATGACATGAAAGGTGGGTGATAATACTTCAAGAAATACTGAATCTTTATTATGTTCATGACACTGAAGAGCATTTTCAAATTTTAAAACTAAGGGACTTATTTTAGGTTTTGTTAAGTGAAATAAGTTTGAATCAGTACAACCATACAATGCAGGTAAGATTCAATGATCCTTCACACAAGCATGCTTTATTAATCTGTATCCAATTTATTATATAATAGTGCTTTGAGCTGCTCAGGTAATTGTCCTCCATGCACTGATCCCTGGATTAACACATGCAACTGAGGCCTTTATTGCTGTCAGAGACAGTCTTCGCACCTGTTCATAGAACTCATTGACAATGCCCTCTGTCCACTGTAGATGGAGATCCTTGCACTTCAGAGGCCCATTGATGTCAGCCAGCTTAATGCACATCTGGCACACCAGCAACCTGTCGTTCTCATTAGACCAGTCGATACCTGTTGACGGATCATCCCCCACCTGTAGGAACAACATATGTTAGTGTTTACCACCTTTGAAAATATTAATAGACACAATGGGTGACTTATTTATATCAAAGATAAATCCTGTGCAATGAATCTTCTGCGTAAACATTGTTTATTTATGTTAATTTAGGAATGAAAATTAAATCCTCATTTCTATTCATGCTTTATGAGATTCAGATAGGAAAAGCACCGGAAGCGTCAGAGTTGAAAACCTAATGGCTCTTCACGGAAAGATCATTTGCTTCCAGGAAGAACAGTACGGAAAACCATTGCTGTTACTTCCTGCTGCCAACCCAGAGAGCTCAGTGCAGCGTCTCAGTACTCACGCTCACAGTGGAAGAATCTTAAAAATTCTCCCATTCAAAGCCAACATTGTGTCTGCACTTAATTTACTTCTTGAAATACAGCAGGGCGCTTTGTGTTTTGAACTCAAACTGAACCTATTTTGCTCGTACAAACAGAACTGTTCCTAGAAACCCACAGGACAATTTCTCTTGACGAAGTTTTCCGTGAGTGTTTAAAGGGCTACGGTATGGCAACATGATTTCTACAACCAACACGTACCTCAAAGATTAAAATATGCCACAGTATTTTAAAGTCTATACACTTTTATGTTAATAAAGCAAACTGGAATACAGTAAATACATGTTTAGTTGTACTGAAAACGCACGCTGACCAAGAAAGACAATTTTCCCCAGACAATAAAACTCCGTCATCTAGAGATTTCCACATCTAAACTCTTGAATTTCAAAACTTAAACTTTTATGTTTTATTTTCAGAATACCTTGGCATTGAACTCAGCAAGAAAGTCAAAGTGCTTCTTTAGGTCAGTGGCCAGTATGGCCTCGATAACAAGGAAACGAAAACGTTTAAACTCCACATGGTCCAGGTTGACGAGGAAGTTGTACTCCGGGTGGGACATGAAGAGGTTCCAGGCTGAGGCAGCGTGGTGGTTTTCTAGAACTGAGCGGTCATTGTAGAGCACTGCCTGCAGAGAAACAAAGATTATGTACAATGTACCTTTAAATAAATGAGAAAAAGCTTCTTTTTTTTCTCATTGAACCTTTATTTTTACTGGTTAGTTCCCATTGAGCCTCGAGGACTCATTTACAAGACAGACCTCTTTGAAATGAGCAGCTAGTTGTAGGCGTGAGCTACACTTTCATTCAGCTACATTTGTGACAAAAGCAAAGACAGAGAACAGTTTCCAATCAGTGAAAGCATTACTGTTTAATGATAATTAGGAGATAATTGTCTGATTAGTGTCCAGAGGTGAGGATATTTATTGGCTTTAACAGTACAGCTTTGTAGTAAAAGATAAAAAAAAAGTAGGGGGAAATCAATACGTAGATGCTTGATCTACTGATTACACACAAAACCTGATGGTGCAACAACGATTCAGGTGGATAAACTTGTCCCGTTGATTCATATTATTAGAGACAGTACCTGAGGGGCGCTGGTGGCCACGAGGAATGCGTTAGTTCTTCCTGGGTGATCGTAGTCGTGCATAGCAGCTGCAACGTAAAGAGCCATGAGCTCCAGAGCAGGTATGAGGCCCGACAGACAGCCGTATCCATCTTCCGACACACTGTAGGTCTTTGAAACCAGGTAGCCCATGTGACTGTGTGTTATTCCACTGTCAGAGTCTGGCCGTGGGGGAAGCAGAGAAAGATCGGAGGTTCAGGAGCATGGTGGCAGAAACTTCACACATCAAACACACACTGGACTTCTATGGACTAGTGCTTCACTCAGGAGCACAACCACGCTTGGTTGTTTAAATCCACTTAAATGTGGATCAAAGGGATGAGCCTGGTAAGGCATACAAATAGGGGTAAGGGAAGATAGAAGAGAAAAACTCTAATTTGCCAGCAATTTCATGCTGTTCTAGACATCAAATAGTGGTTTGCACATAATTGTAAGTGCCCGAAAGCATAAGGAAGGTAAGAAAAATAAAAAGGCATTAGAAGAGCAGTCATTCCTGCAGGTTGGAAATGAGATGCTCAGTTTTAAAAATCAGAAAAATGTTACTTATAGTAAGTTTTTAATGCCATATAGAACCTAAAGAATTAGTAATATTGTTTTTAAAAAGCACCTTAACTTGACCATACAAACTTTAAATGGATGCCTGATGGATGGTGAGTATACCTGAGTCACTAGCAGAACCATGATCCGTAATGAGGCTGGGCAGACCAGGCACGGGCTGCGTGGTGAGGTACCAGACTGCATGGAGGACATCTGTTGCATGAACCCTGTTGTGATCTGGCTCAGACGAAAAAACAAGATCTCAGGCAGAAAACTCTCCACCAGGGTGCGCTGTTGAGCTACACATGTTACTTTAATAAATTAAGCCAGCATTGAACCTGAAGGGAGAGCATGTTTCCACCTAGTGGCTGCTTTTATTCTCACAGATGTAAACGAGATGACAGCAAACAAAGGAAAAAGACAGTACTGCTCACATGGTATGTCTCTGTAGCCGTTCTCAAGGGCATGGAAGTAGTTCATGAATTCTTTAACAGGGATCTTGAAGGTCTCAAAAAGGCCCGTGTCTTCAAAAAGCCTGTAAGATACCTAAAATAATAATAATCAATTAGCAGAATAATAAAAGACACAACAAAAGTGAGTCCAGTACATTTTAAGTATCAAAATATTATTTTCCAACACCAAAAGGTGAATGCAGACATTAATGGCTTTGCCTGTGTCTGTGTACCTTTTATTAAAATATCAAATGAACCGCTGGATGAATTTTATTAAAAGTTTCAGAAAGTAATCATTGGATGTACAGTACTTTGTACATACAGTATACTACTGATTTACTTTTGGTGTAAGACAAATTCAAGATGGCTGCCACAGCCAACTGATCTTAAAAAAAAACCTCCAACATGTTTTTAACTCCATCAATTTTACAGATGTTGACCTGGTAGTGGCAGAAACTGATCCTCGAGATCTATTCTGAGCGCTAACAGAATGTGCAAGATCTTTCTTTACAATTGTATTTTAACTATCCTCTCTGTGTGGCTGTTTAAATATTTTAGGAATGGGTGGATTTTACAAAAAACATCGAAGTTTGTGCTCAATAATCCAGAAAACTATTTTGAAAACAATTATTTTTACAACTTGTTAACATTTGAAACCAATTCAACTCCAGATGTTGACTACAGTCTACTATAGATTGTGCTAAAACTTGGTGTGGTAGTAGCTGAGAGTTATTCACAACCTATACTTGGTGTGATATCTCGTAAATTTTACATTATAAACATGTTATTTTCATAGTTTGATATAAAAAAAAACTACAACTTTGTGATTTCTCAACAGAAAATAGTAAATGGACTATACTTATATAGAGCCTTTCTATCTGATCGAGATCCTCAAAGCTCTTTACAACAATCTGTGTCCTCATTCACCTCCACACACATTCAGCACTCTATTACATCTATACAAACTACTCTGAATCTGTGGAGAATTATCAGAGCTTTAAATCACATTCATACACAGATTGTACACAAATCAGAGGCAATGAGGGGTTCAGTGTCTTGCCCAGGGACACTTGGACTGCTGGTGGAATTGAACCCCCAACTCTCCCATTGGAGAACAGCTGCTCTAACCACTCACCCACAGCTGCCCCCATACAGACCAGGAAACAAAGAAGACCCAATTTAGATCAGGAGATTTTGATTTATATGTTTTGTTTTGTTATTTTTTGTGGGTTTTTCTTCATAAAAACACCTGATTTAAATGTAAACCATGTGATGAACCAATCAGCTGACATATACAATGCACTTTAGATCATTTTCATCATTTATCATTCCTCCTCTGGCAAACCTCTGAGAATTAAAGAGAATCTTGGCAGGTCACTCTTTAGTGTATTCACATGAATTCATCATTTCAACACGGTCCTACGTCTTTCCTCCCACCTGTGTGCATGACTGTAGGCCATATTCAGACATGTGAGGTGAAAGAAACGCATCCTGGTAATAAACATCTCACCGGCGAATTTCTTCAAAACATCCATCACTTTTCTTTGGATGTTCTTCAGCAAGATTTAATCTACAGCGTATGGAACATAAAAGCTGTTTTCTTAGAAAGTATCGATAGATCTTGATGTCATGACGTGTCCTTAGCTTCAGTACATCATTACAAGAAGAAAACAGAGTTCTGAGATTTCTGGTATTCAACAATAATCTCATGAACATGTTGATGTTCAGAGATGGGCTTGTGTTCTCGAGCCTGTGGTGTTTTGAAAATGTTTCATTTTGACTGTTTCTAAAAAGAAACACTCAAGTCCACTTTAGGTTTCTGTCGTCACTAGGAGTGAAGCACGTTGTTGGTAACACAATCAACAGAAACAAACCAACACGTGCGTGCGCCTTTGTGAAAGGAGGGCGATCATAAAATTGCCTGTCTAAATGTGTGCTTTTGTTTTTGTGTGTGTTAACAAAATGAGTCCTGAACCAACTATTGTGCTTCATCCTGGTGTGGTTGTAGCTGAGAGTCATCCCCAATACATGTTCTCAGCAGAACCAACTCAAGCAAGGCAGGAAATAGTATTTTTTCAAGGAATGTGTTTGTTTTTTAATTGTTGTTGTTTTTGTGTGAGCTTAGTTTTTCGTAACTCAAAGAAACAATAACCTGAATGTGCTTGTTGTTTATTAATCAATGCAAAAAACACAAAGCCATGACCATGTCAGACACAAATGGGATTATTGTTTTTTTGGGGCTGAAATGGTGTAGAGTTAGGGCAGCCAACTTGGTACCAGAAAGTTGCAGGTTTAACTCCACACCATGCCCACATGTCGTGGTGTCCTTGAGCAAGACACCTTATCCCTAACTGCTCCCCAGGCGTTCACAAGGCTGCCCACTGCTCCACCTGGTGTATCTCACGTGTGGTGGGTTAAATGCAGAGAACTAATTTTACCATTGTATGGAAACATACAATGATGACAACATACAGCACTTTATTATTTATTATTATTACTGATTTGTTAACATAAAGTTATCTCTAACTTCTGACATAAAGAGTAAGTTGTACCGTATTTTTCGGACTATAAGGCAAACTTAAAATCCTTTAAAATGTTCTCAAAAATCGACAGAGAGCCTTACGTTTTAATTCTGGTTGTGGTTACTGACCTCAAACTGATTTTATGTTGTTCTTGTGAATGAGTTGAATAAAGTTTGACTTATCGGACTGTTTTGTTTTGCTTAAGGCATCTTATAATCCAGTGCACCTTATGCATGAAAACAGACCCGTTCATGGATCTTGTGCCTTATAATCCAAAAAATACAGTAGTGTTGACACCGGCTGGTTAATAATTTCACCTGACTGAGGATCCTTCCACATTTCCCGTTCGTTTTCTCCATCAAGGTGAAGATCGGGAAGTTCCAATTGTTTAGCTGACTCATCAAAGGCTCCAAGTCCTCCATCATGATTGGCTCTGGTGCCAGAATGGGTTTGTCCTGCACAAGCGACCCACAATAATAACCATTAAAACACAGACGTCCAACATGTTCTAGAAAAACAAAACGATTAGACGTCTTTTTTTTTCTGTTTCATTCATGGATCTTTACTGTAAGAGACTATTTAGTTGTAATTGAAGTCAGTCCGCTGTGGTTTTTACCTCAGGGGGTATCAGTGCATGGAGGATGACACTCTGGGAGGGGGTCTTCCCTGTCACTGAGTTCTGCTCCGAGTGTGCTACATCGCTGCAGTCACTGTGGTTAGCTTCATGGGTGCTGTCGTAGTCGGATGATACCACCACTTGGTCCTCTGCTTAAAAACAAGGTGATAATATAATTTTTCTAAAGGGAGAACCAACTGGCAATCTTCCTAATGTAGGAGCGCCTGTCTGCAGAAAGTTTTCAAATGGACTGAATGGAGGAGCCACTGAAAGTCTTGCATCAAAACCAAAAGCCAGAACAGATTTCAATTTTTGTATTGCTTAAAAAACAGTTGTTTTATTGTGATATTGGAGTAAAGGGATCACCTTTGGATATAGATCAGCATTTTGTGTAAATATTTTACAACTAATATTACTAACTGAGAACAGCAAAGTCACTGCTTAACTCACTGAAGCTTGCTCTTTAGGTTTCAAAATTTATATTTGTAAAAAAAATATGCATAACTGAGACCCTATATTCTGATATGAAGACAATAGCTTTTTGCATTTATTTCTTTAATTCACCATAAACGAAGAGTCTTCGTTTGGGTAGAATAGCCTTTAAGTTATTTTACAATTTATTTTATTTAGATTTTCACCTTCTGATTGTTCCAAAACAAAGTTTTTTTTAATGTTTCAGGGGTTCTACTTATCCCATGCAGCTAGAGGACATTAAAAATGCACACCTAACAATGCTCACGAGCATAAGGCCAAATTTGTAGGCATGTCCATGGCCCCTTCTAACTTCCCCCCTAGCGGTGCCCCTGCCCTCATCTCCTAACTTCTCAAGGATGTCCACTTGTTTTCATCTTGGCTTGTTATAATAATAAATTGTATAATTTCGCTCTAAAAGGACTGGACCCGTTGCTGAAAGACCCCTACTCTAATGTAAAACCATTGTGTTTAAGGTCAGATTGTTTTATTAAGACGTGCGCTGCTTCTCACCAGAGGAACTTGTGTTTCTTGTGTATTTTAACGTAGACTCATCGGTAAGTGCTGCAGCCAGACGGTGAGGACGTTCGGTTTTAATTTAAATTAATTGAAACTTTGCGTCTTTGACAACACATTCAGCTTTGCTGCGTTTTGTATAGAAAACTAAAAGGACAACAGAATTCTGTGTTAAGGAAAGATTTGTTTAAAAAATATATGTTTTTTCTGCAAAAAGGAAATCTTATAACCTTTTGTTTAGGTTGTAATTATGTTTGTCCTTTTTTAAAACATGCACAGCTGTTACACACATTTCTCCCGTCCCCCATGGTGGTTGAGTTAATGGTTAAAAAGGAAACTGTATACCTGATCGTGGTGTTCTGTCTCCCTTGTCGATGGAGCCCTCCCCATGGCTCAGTCTGATGTATGGTCTCCCACAACTGCAAAACAGAGGACTTATAGAGTTATTTAGATAAAATAAAGACATCATCATCACACTTTATTCTACAGTGTGTGTGTACTTAATGTATGTTTTGGTGACCCAAGTCCTACATCATGTTTAGTCCGTTTAGATATGAACATAAAGTATGGAGGGAGGACGGTGAGATAAAGAGTCACGTTTGTTTGTGCCACAGCAGAGAGGAATAAATCTGTTTCTTTAATCTGTCTTTAATAAGGATTCGAGGATTCAAGGAGTTTTTATTGTCATACCAGCTCACATTTTCATGTTTATGGAACAAAATTTGGACTCAGGTCCCAGATCAAGAAGCCTAATAGTTAGCAAATAAATTAATAAATACATAAATAAATACAAAAGAGCACACATATGTATATATTTAAAAATGTAAAATGAAGCTGAATTAGGTGCAGCTCGAGTTCATCAGTCTGACAGCTGCAGGGAAGAAACGGTTCCTGAGCCTGGTGGTCCTGCTCTGAACGCTTGAGGGGAGAGGCTGGAACAGACCGTGTGCAGGATGACATTTATAACTCTTCTAAACGAGCCTTCGAGTCTCAGTGGAGACTAACCTGTAAAAATAAAGGTCTAATAATAATAATAATAAATAAATAATCTACAGATGTTTCTTGAAAAACAACAGAACAGAAACACAACCAAAAACTTTAAGTGATGGTTCTGATCGTTCACAATTAAGTTCCAGGAAAATATTATTTGAACCACACAATTATATGTAAATACCTATAAAATGTAAACATTGTAAAACAGTTATAAAATGTAGTATTTGCAGGAACCATTCAAAAAATTAAGACGAACTTCAGCAATCTGCTTTGGATTAGACCTCACTCAAACCAGTCAATAAATCATCATTCCAGTTAGAATTAAACTCTATTTCTACAAGTACAAGTCATTTTATAAAACAGAAGGGCACTAAATGTTCATAACCTCTCACTAGAGCCACACGTCAACACATCTGAACTACTGTGCCTACCGACAGGGATTACACACCGAGGCACATCTGAAAGATTCACTGGTTTGACTGGTAAGTGAAGCAGCTCACCCTGTTCCACAGACACAGCAACATTCTGAGAAACGGATGAAAATAGTCACGTTTACAGACTCGTTCATAAATCAAACAGTAAATATCTTTATCTTTTCTCACATAAGGAGATGGTTAGCTGTGTGAAAGTGTGGGGAGCCCCCAGATCTGCTGCTCAACAGTTTTACAGATGTCTCCTCTGAGGCCACTGTCAGGCTCTAGATGGTTCCAATTAAAATACTTCTCCCCAAATGCTGTAAAACCTGCCTTCTCGGCAGAGGAAATGCATGCTATTAGCACATGGTGTCACAGGGAGCACAAAGGTCTGTAGTGTGTCTATCTAATTCCGATAAAGTGTCCTGAAACACTTTCGAGCCATACTCACCATAATCGTGCTGGGGTTTCTAACAAAGAGTGTTCTGTTGTGTTTGCGTGGCCAGGTTGGACCTCTGCGTCTAATGCCTAACAGGTGTGGAATATAAAATCGTTTGATAGTTTGGCGGGTGAACAGTTAGAACATTGTTGTTAGGGGGGTCTGGGCAGGCAGCAGCGTTTGGCTTAAAAGGTTTAGCTTTAATGAAAGTTGAAAAACTGGCAAACACTTCGGCTGTTCTGCTAATGCAGCAGAACAACCTTGACTGTACTGACACCGAGCCTGCAGGACAAAATGTAAATAAGGAGGCCGGCAAGTTTTACTTGAAAAGTCTGTCAGTCAAAAATCACACGTCTGCTTTTATCTCAGGAGTATGGTGTAGTTACAGAGGTTAGCACTGGAGTTACAGTAATTTGACTGTCCCAGTGAGGTGTTCACATACATTATGAAAACATATCACACATTCCTGCATGCATATGCTTCTACTCTGACTGCTAGGAATAACATTTGTCTTTTATAAAATAATCACTTGTGTCTAATATTATCTTTGGGAAAAATGGAAAAGCATGAGGGAAAGGCCGCTCTGAAGAAACTGAGGAACTGACAGGTTTGTATTACCGGCATATAAACCCATTAGGATTGGGTTTGTTAAAATTCTTAATCGTATTGCTTGTTTGTGAAAAAAAAAAAAAAAGATTCATATTTACACTTGGTTATACTGATTTTATCCAAAATTACACATTTAAGTTGTTTCAAAGTAAAATAAAATACAATGTTCGTTAAAATTATGTATATACATACGTACAGGTGCATATAAAAAATGTTGAATATTGTGAAAAAGAAGTGAGACTCAAATAGATTCATTTGACAGAGTGAAATATTTCAAACCTTTATTTCTTGTTATTTTCATTATATCTTACAAATAATGAAAAACTACACATCAGTGTCTCATAAAATGAAAATATTGTGCAGAGGATCAATATTGTGACCTCCTGGTGTCACAGCCTGATCAGCTGATCATCTCCTGGACATGAGCTATAAATGTCTCATTCCTCAAGTCCAGCCACTCCTGAACCACAGGAACATCAGAAGCATCTTACCTGCTGAGGAGACAAAGAACTGGACTGTCTCTCAGTGGTCCAACGTCCTCTTTTCAGGTTCAAGTAAAGTTTCATGTCATTTATAAATCCAGGTCCCAGAGTCTGGAGGAAGAGGAGAGGTCCAGGATCCATGTTAGTGAAGTCCAGAGTGAAGTTTCCACAGTCAGTGATGGTTTGGGTCCATGTCCTCTGCTGGTTCTGGTCCACCAGGTTTTCTGAAGTCCAGTCCTCGCAGCATCTAGCAGGACATTTTAGAGACTTCATGCTTCTTTCTGCTGACGAGCTTCATGGAGATGCTGGTTTCATTTTCCAGCAGGTCTCATCTCCTGCCCACACTGACAAAGGTACCAACATCTGGCTGAGGAATACTCTCTTTTTCTGAGACACAGGATTTAGTATTTTCATTATTTGTAATCATCAACATTTCAAGAAATAAAGGCTTGAAATATTTCACGCTATGTTTAATGAATCTATATATGATTTTCACTTTTTGAAATGAATGACTAAAATAAACTTTTTGACTATATTCTATTTTTAAGATGTACCTGAACATGTTGCCAGTTTTATTACGTCTTGTTGTTTTAGTTGAATAAGTTTTCACTCATTCAACAAATCAGACTCAAACAATAAAGTGTTTGTTTTATCTAACAATGTCTGGTATTGTTTTCTTTGTTTGTTTTTTTTAAATGCTAAATTTGTACGATGTAATTCAAATAAATCTGACAGTTTTGTTTGGTACTCTCTTTGTATTTCAGAAAATTATCATTTAGTACAGAGCTCCGTCTGACAGACTATGTGTAGTCCTCAACCCGTGTTTTCTTCAGTGATTCTTGTTTTCAGCTCCATCCCCACCTGTTCATTATCAACACACCTGCTCTGTTCAGCAGTCACCTTCCCTTGGTCTGTTCAACTATCTGATCACTTTAATGTAGGCTGGAGAAAAACCCATGCATGCACAGAGAGAACATGAAAAGTCCATACAGAAGGCAGACAGCCCCCAGAAACCATCATCACCAGCAAACTGGTTGCTCCACTGCCAGCGCGTACTGCTTAGTGGGGAAAACAGTTTGTGACTTCTCAGACTGATGAAGCCCTTCGGATGGAGGGCGAAACGTCTCTCAATAACAAAACTAACTGTCCAGATGACCTGACTGAACGTAGTTGGATCCTTACAGAAAGGTCCCTGACTGGGATTCAATGCAGAAACCTTCTCGCTGAGGCAGCAGCTCTTCCATCTGTGCCCCCCATGCTGCCCCTTTCTGCGTCTTATTCAGAGAAAATATTTCCAAGTTGAATATGACAATAAAAAAGGAGAAGAAGAAAAGAACTTTGGGAACGGTAAGCAAACTTGGTAAGTAAAATTTAAAATTAAAACACAAACTAAACTTTTTGTCTCAAGTCTGCAGTATTTTTTTTGTGTCTTCTAATAAATATAAAAAAATGGTTTCCATTTATTTATTTACAGGAAGTGAGTGTAAAGTTCCAACCAAAACACAGCTAATTAAAAAACAACTTGGGTAAAGATATAAGTTTTTAGTTTCCTAATCAATTTGATTTATTACTTTTTTTGTTCTTCTTTCAACTCCTGGTACTCCCTTCTTCTGGGGTCGCCGCAGCAAATAACTCGCATGAAGACTTGACGTTTGTTTTTACGCCGGATGTTCTTCCTGACTCAACCACAGACACCGAGCTGCCACAGCCCTCTGTGTGGAGCAGACAGCTGCCAGCTAGGGCACCCGGGGGAGCAGATGGTGGGGGCTGAGGGCCTTGCTCAAGGGTCCAGAGTGGGACAAATGAGGGTGGAGGCAGGTGTGGCACCTTTCCCACCCACATTTTGATGTTGTCGGTCTAGGAAATCGAACCGGCGACCTTCCCATCACAGTTTTGCCTTCTCTAACCTCTAGGCCCCCACTCCTCCTTTATTTAATTAAAAAAAAAAAGACATTTATTATTTAAGCAAAGTGATGACTTCTCAGCCAGCAGAACTCTGCCAACCATCAAACTGAAAACTGATCTGGAGTTTCTAAAAGTGGAGACAGAAACATGTTAAATAAAACAGAAAATAATAAAGAGATTTAAAAAAATAAAAACTTTTGTCACCATCAACCAGTCTGTGAAACGTCTTTTCAACACACATTTGGAAAACTGTGCAAAAAATGTACGTGCCGATTAAACAAAGAAATCTTAAATCTTTCCTGCAGCATACAAACGCTACAGCAGAGTGAAACAGTAACGTTTTATTGTTCCTACTTAAGAAATATTTGTGGGGACTGAAATAACTGCTTCATTTAATGTAAATGACTAAAGGTTGTTTTGTTTGCTTTTTTTAAAACCAATTTTCGGTCAAGGCTCGTTTCTAAAATCTAGACGCAACCTCTGCTGCAGACTCCCTCCAGTTGCTCCAGCTGGCCTCTGCGTGCTCCTTTCTCTGCTGTTTTTACTCCCAGATTTTTTAGCCTCAGCCTCTTCGCAGC